AAATGTTCACACGAGAACTTTTGGGTTTTGGTGGATGTCAGAACAAACACAGAAACAACACCCAACAATCCAATGGGGGAATAAATATGTGCTTCTAAGACCGACTCGGGAAAGGGACGCTGACAATGCCCAAGCAAAAGGAGATCATCCGTGTCCATTCTCCTGAGCTGGTTTAAGCTGGCCAAGCACAAATTAAATCCAACTCACTAATACCTTCAATGTCACAAAGTCAAAACAAGTTTTAAAACTTTCCTGTGATTTTGTTCAACAATTTTTCTGCATGTATTAGCTATATATATTCCTCTCATCGTGAGTAGTCATAAGCAATGTCCTTATATGGAGGCTGGTGAGCGTGGAACATACTGAGATGTGAAGTGGCACACAACGAGTAGGTATTTTATCAGTGGTGTCCACATGACAGGCTCTTGACTAATATTAAAGGCTATACTGTCTCAGGTATTTATGAATGTAAGATAATGTTAATACATGTACATGCAATCAGTCAACCATGATGTCGAAAAAGTGATTCTCTTTGGAACAAACCATAAGTAAAGTTGGCACCACACCAGACCGTTAATTATTCCAATTCACTTTAAATAATTTTGTACCTCTGTATTTGGTAATGACTGAAAAAACAAAAAAAAACTGTTTTATATCACTGGCAATCTTGTAGTTGGTCAAGTAAAAAATATGATCACTCTGAAATAGGGTTCAAGTATTCCGGTAAAAGCTGGGGGGGGTTCCAGTTGAAACTTACCAACACAGGAGATGCTCAGCGAGTTAAACTCGTAGCCAGTTGGACACTCACACAGAAAAGATCCGTCCAACTCTAGGCAAGTGGCATCACCGCAAGGGTTGTCGTCACACTCCTTGATGTCTGACAAACCCCGATAAAGATAGAGAGAACTTACATTTCACTTTTCCACGAATGTGCCCCCAAAACACAAAATGAGTTTAGAAACCCTTTGTCCTCCGGGGAAGTTTCGTTCTTATTTGCATTAGAAAGAGCAAACTGGACTTTCTGTTTTGATGTATCACTTAGCTTGTTGTTCCGATGAAATGGATTATATGTGGGTGAGAAATGACGAGGGTTATTATGCAAATTTCTTTCAAAGCCCTTTAATTTTTAAATTCAAAAGCGGCTCCTATGACCTTGGATTCACAAATACAGTATCTTGGATTTATTTCAGCTAGAAATAAGCAATGTGAAAAGTTCTGGATATTGCTGGAAGCAACGCAAGGCAAAATTTACTGCTACTGACCAGTGTTGTAGTTGAGACCTCTTCAGACCATCGCAAGACCCCACAAGACCAACACAAGACGTCCAGTCTGAATAAGCCATTTGCGAATTAAATTTGAATAAAATCTGGGACACTGAGTTTTAATATCCGATTGCACCTAAACATAACAATTTGAATTCCCCAGACTAAAGACACTGTTGCTATACGTCATGATTCAGGGCAAGCTTTCGCATAGCAACCACCATTTCTGGAATGGACTGGTTCCTTTGTGCCCTTCTTATCCATTGAGAACAGTGTATTGTTGCAAGGCGTCTTTTATGTAACTAAGCAAAAGCTTGCCCCAAATCACGAGATATAGCAACAGTGGTTTTAGTAAGGAGAATTTAAGTTGTTACATACATGAGAATTTAAAGAACTCAGTGTACCAGATTTGGGTCAAAGTTAACTTGCCAAAGGCTTATTCAAGTCACAAGCTATTGCAAATGCAACAAAAGCATTCCCTTGTCACACTTTGCCCTCTCTCTTGGGACGGGTCTTGTGCATGGTCTTTTCTCCGGTTTGTGATGAAGGTCTTGTGATGGTCTGGACTACAACACTGCTACTGACTACTGCTGAACACTTAATTTCTGCTAAGCAAATGCAGCACGGAAGGAATGTCACTGGGACTACTGTTCATTCTTTATACATCAACCCTGATTCCCCATGTGCATCTTCTGGCAATCTTCCTCAATCCTTCCAAGCCCTTCACTATGCAGGAAGTATGATGGCACACTATTCTTATTCCAACTCTTGAGGGCCTCCAAGTCCTACTTGTACGTGAAGTCATAGAGACTGGGCTATTGCTTACTCAATCCTGATAACTACCCACAACTTCCGGAGGGCTTGAAGACTGATTTGGGGAGCAAGTTCATGGCAGATAAGCAGTGAGCCAGATTTTTTTGGCATGGCCAACTAAATAACGAACCCTCAGAGGGCTGTGTATGACCAACGAAATTTCATAAATCTGGTACCAATATGACAGAACAGTTGCCATCTGCGAGGGACATGCTCTATGTACACTATAATTAAGCTTAAACTCAGAATCACCATTATCAGAATATCTACAAGTGAAAATGGGTTCATGTTTTACTGAGGCTGGTCAATTCTAGATGAAGAAATGGGTGTGCAGGTATGTTCTAAATGCAACAGATTTTACAGAAGCTTTGCATGTTTTGAAATATTTCCCAAGTGCAGTTCGGCTGAATTTACAATCAAAGTTTAGTAAACAACATTTTTAACACCAAGCCCATGTCTGCTTAGAGCAGCTGTATACAATGAGGCCAAAACACTCAACACATTAGATGTGCGGGTCTTCAACTATAGAGAACACAACTCAACATGCATTGCACTTCTCTCAAGGAAACTCTGCTAGAGTTTGAGATAGTGAGTTACGACCTACACTTGACTTCAATTTTTTTCAAGGCAGATATCACCATCGGCGTGAGGTTACAATGACAACATGTGATGTTGTGGATCTCATACAGATCCACAACTTCCACAAGATGACTTTTAAATGCTGGACTGAGTCCTGACAAATTTCATAAAAAAATTTGGCCTAATGTTTACTCTCATCAAGCATGGCTTCTACTAATCGCTAGTAATGGATAGATGAAGCACATACCATTGAACTGATGTGTGGAAATGTATAAAAGCAGCTAAAACAACACCAAATATGACTGAGTGTTATTTTTGCAAAGGATGAAACATTAAGTGTCAAACTCTAAAGAAAGCAGGAGCAGCTGACATCACATGGTAGAATACAATGATACACTATCGGGTATAGCAGCCATCTAGACACAAGGTGGCCCTGTATGCCACAACAGTTGGAAATATGAATGGTTAAAGTAGAAATTATACAGCTACAATAGGCAAAGCTATAAGATGCCACATGCAGAGGGCAAAAATCTGTCTTAGCTATGTCTTTGAAGCCACAGAAATCACATGCAAACTTGCAAAGCGATTCAACATAAAAACCAAGACAACAAAAAAACCAGCCGGTAGGCATGCAATAAGCCCCCAAACCCTAAATCTGTATACAAATACGCTCAAACAAATCCTACAAGATGCAAGCTTTAAGCTGTTGCTGACAAAAGCCGGTACAAGAAGCACACACACACAGGACAAAAATGGACCAGTGAAGACATATCAAGGCTGCCCTCAAGAGACAAATGACTCGTGACAATGGCCCAAAAGCACGAAAGCTGCAACTGGCAACACATGGATCGTAGCACCAAGCCAAGTCCACAGGAGTTGATGTGAAATGGCAGCAGTAACTTCCATAAATTCCATTTTGCAATACCTACAGATTACTACTCAAGTTTGGAGACATGAAACAGAACATTTTTGGCAATTAGTAGACTATAGTCTCTTCCCAACAGAATTTTAAAAAGTATTACAGTCAGTGGTTTTTAACTTATTTTAAAACAATTTTGACTGTTTCGACACTGACATTGTCTAGAATTTCTTAGAGTAGGAGAGAGATGTGGGGTTTAGACAGACAGGAAGGCTAAAATTGCTCGGTGGAGTTGACCACAAATGCAATATGCAGTTTTGAATAAAATCTTCTGTTATGACTCTGAGGAAAAGTTTGAAATCTCCATGGCCCCCTTAATCTGCAATCCAGCATTTGGGAGTTGCTCTCGTTTGCCTTCATACAGTGTATAAAATATTTCCTCACACCCAAAAAACCGTAGTAACATGTCTCGCATTCGAAAAATCCTAAGTCATGAATACAATCAGTTTTTGACCACCACTTTAATCTGGTCTAGCCCTACTCCCAGACAGATGAGTAAGTACTGCCATTTCACACCACAATGCGTCATGCTAAACTGCACTGCACTGAACAGCTACACTGAAATTTCGCCAGCCAACGGATGAGACAGGGGAGGGGGGGTGGGAGACCGAACTCACCGAGACAAGCGCGGAGGTGCCTGTCTAGACTGAACCCCCGTGGGCATTCACAATCAAATCGGCCCTGATAGTTTACGCAGGTGGCGTTACCGCACAGCCCCGGGTAAAGCTGGCATTCATCAATGTCTGGAAGGAGTTACATGCATGCATCGTAATGACAACTGTTCTTCAGAGCTTACCAAAAGCACAAAATAAATTCAGAAAACTTTTGAGGTTCACTGTTAACAGCAACACACGGGTTAGAATAAAAAGGTAAGGAATGGAGGAACTATGCTTTGGTAATATTGGGCATAGTCACACAAGTCCATATGCCAAAACTAAGTACGCATTTATTTTCAAACTTTGATCAAGAACCTTGGGTTAATAACCATTTAATGAAAGCGTAGGATTTCTCACTCAAAACTTCAAAAATAACTAACAACAATTTGTTATAATCATTCAAACACAAAAACATGGTCGCTATTGAGGCCACAGGATACAACTGTTCCGACGACATTAAGGAATCAGTTCAGATTCTCACAGTTGCCAGATTTAGTTTTACAGTAACCAAAGGCATTACATGGTTTTATACTTTAAAATCAGAAGGAGAAATCTTCATGTGAATTTCACAAGCCAACGTGACTGTTGATTCTGTGAAATCGCGGAAATAAAGTTTGTTAACCTCTTTATTTTTTCTTGCCAACTAAGAGACTTACCGACGCAGTCTTGTTGACTCTGATCAAACGTGTAACCACGTTGACAGTTGCAGGAGAAGCTCCCCTGAGTGTTGTAGCAACCGACATTGCCACAAGGACGCGATTCACATTCGTCGATATCTGGAAAGGGAATGGGGTTGATCGGGGACACAATTACCGCATAACGTCGGTGAAATGTAAAATGAACCGTAAAACTGATTGTCCAGGATCATCATTTGACTGGCAGTAACCTTACAGCAAATTCAGGCATGAAATATAGTTCCTCCACTATTTGACTATTTTTGAGCGATACAGTCACACTTAAATGACCGCAGTGAAAATCCCACTGTCAACCACATTTTGCCATGGGCTGCAAGTGTCCATGGTCCATGACATCTTGTAAAATGATTTTCATGCGAACAGTTCCTTCCATTCTGATAAAGTCAATCAGTAATTGATAACCAGCAGTGCAACTGTGTGCTACGGCCTCGTCCTACATGGTTGTATATGGTCCAAACCATTCATCGTTCACGCGACGTCGGCCGAGCTATAATTAACTACGGTCATTGGTTAAACTTGCCCTTAGAAGCAGAACTGCGAAATGCCCAAGCGGGACAACCTTAACAATTCATATCAACTTGTTCAAAAGACAAAGAATGGTAAAACATGGGACCTTCTTGTCAACTTAAATCTCACTTGTACAAAGAACCTATAGTACTCACCAAGACACTGTCTGTACGTGTGATCGTACTGGAATCCTGCCCTGCATTCACAGTGATAGCTCCCTCTAGTGTTATTACAACGACCACCTGCACAGGGCCTCTGTTCGCACTCATTGATATCTGTTAGTAAAGATGTGTCAAGATGAAATGACAACCAGTAGTTGATGAAAAAGACTTCATATGAAAAACTACCAAAGACGCTTGTTTGAGAAGTTTAAAGCTTCCTCTTGCGAAATAACAAGATCTGCTCTGCGTGGGAGCAAGAGATGAGCATGCTTTAACAAACCATCAATGGTCATTTGGAGGGAACTGGCCATGTGAGCACAGGATTATGTGTTTAGCACAGGACGTGGTAAGCATACAAGATCACTTTCTGTTGGAATGTGTGGTCTCTGCGTGTGAGTCGGGTATCCAGACGAAACAATTCCCACCAACATGTTTCTTCTTTGCTAGTGAGGGGATTATGCTTCAAGTCTGGGGCGGATAAAGCCCAATGACATTTTGAATGTTAAGTCTTTGCATAGGCTGTGAAAGCAATGAATGTGAGCAGTTTGCATAGCAGAAAGGACAAATAAATCAATACATAAATTTAAAGTACTTGCCTTGCATTGACCTGACAGTGAGCTAGTTTGGTTTTTCAAACAGCAATGCCATTCAAGAACAAAGGTTGAGTACGAGTTGGCATATTGCCGTATTTACAGGCCAGACCTTGCGCCCACCTGTACTGCTGTATCCAAGTGACCTCGGACGCACTTTATTTTGAGCATGTGCTGTTGGAATATCAAACTGGCCCCTTAGACCAATACACCCACTGAGGGTTTCTCAGGGAATAGGCTTGACCACTCACCCACGCACGTCGCTTGTAGGCTGTCCAGGGTGAAACCTGGGTCACAAGTGCAGTAATACCCAGGGATCCTGTTGATGCACTGGCCGTCTCCACAGATGTCGGCATCCTGAACACATTCGTTAATATCTGCAGGGACACAGACGATATGGATGTCACTACAAACCGACAGGAGAATGTACACATCAGAGGCACTACTGACCATTATCCTGGTGACACACTGAGGGCCGGCGACATTGAAAATCTGTGTGCGTGCATCCTTGAACTATTGGTATTAACCAGATGATGCCAGGTGCTTTTAAAAATGCAGTGCACACATACGGGCGATTTTCAAGATTTTCATTTTCAAAATTCTTCAAAAATTCATCATTTCATTTAATTGACGTTTACACCCACACGAGTGACTGTTTGGTGGCTACTCTAAGCTGACAGGCAACCTTTATTGACTCCTAAGGTATTTCAGCCAGGCATGCCGCCCTGTAAAGAGAGCCCAGAATTGTGAGGTGTTGCATATTTTCCTTTGTCCCCAGGGAATGCCAGTGGCATCTTTTAAAACGCGGCTGGATTAGCGTGCAGCGGTGCTGTGTCATTCATCAATGGGGCCCTGGAGCACTTTTGTCGGCGGTGCTAATCCGCGGGTGCACTATGCCCAAAACAGTGGTATACTGTTTAAAAACAGAGATGATGAGATTACCTTCGAAAAATGTAAGCTGAAAAATGATGGCAATTCCCAGCAGCAGGTCTTTATTTTCAAGTACGGTCTTCTGTTACACGGACCAGCTCTTTTGTGCCATTTCGGGCACCCTGGCTCTGCGTATAAACCCATGGTGCTCGAAACGGGGTTCCCCGACAGTATGTGGTTAACGGGATCACTGCCCTGAATGTATTTAAGATGATTCAGCACAACATTTTCTGTGACGATGTAGCTAATGAAGCACCTTCACCTAAAAGAGCTGATGCTCATTTCCAGACTCTGCTTCATATTGAAAGTGCTATCTTTTATTCTATCTGTACAATAAGCACTAAATAGTCATCGTAAGTATTCAATTCTGAGGTTAGCAGAGCAATTCCTCAAGGAGGGAAATAGCATCCATCTGAGACTTGAGCTGGGAAACCACATCTAACTAAAGGTGACCGTCCTGTCCGTGTGGATAATTGGCCACCTGATTGACCATTCACGCCACTATCATGGCCCATGCCGATTGGCTGACCTCGCAAGAAAGCTAACATACAGCAAACAAATTCCTACAAGTGACATCCAACCTGACCCCGGGGCAAGGTTATCGCATGAACAAATTGTCACGTCCGACTTTAACCCTCAGCTAACAGCTGGTGGGACTGCTTGGCTGCATTTGAGCGTGTCACCTGTACTTAAGTGAGTACCCTTCCGAGTGCAAGAACAACAGGAATGTGACCCGCGGGTAAGCAAGAGCATACTCTCAATTGGGCTGGGGGTAGACTTTTTCAACAAGTGGTAATTTCGAGATGGCAGGAAAGTAACCATTGACTGCTCGCGTGAGGCGATCAACGTTTTCCCGCTTGGGTGAGTGTAGAGAGTAACTCTGAGAGAGCCTGACGACTCACCTAAGCAGGTCCGGTAATCGAAGCTGTACTCAAACCCAGTTGGGCACAAGCAGGTGAAGCTATCAGTGGTGTCCCGACAGGTGCCGTTGCCGCAGGGGTTATCTCGGCACCAGTCTTTATCTGATTCAGGACAGAGAGAAAAAAAGAGAACTCCCGATTCGATTTGAAATTTATAGCAGTAGAAATGAAATGACACACTGGATTGATTCACACAAAAGTAACTGTCAAACTTTTAAACATCATGTCTGGTATGGCGTGGGTGCAGAAATAACACTGTTCTTAAATCACTTCCTGATAATACAGCAAATATTTAATGATAATTACCGCAAAGTTTATAGCATGCTTTCTATCAAACGATGATCTCAAAGCAGTTTTCAATTACTACCCTGTTTGTCAGGTAAAGAGGCCAATTTTCATATTTTGACATTTTCGGTTCTCACCATTGCAAGTGCGCGTTTCCCGTTCAAACTCTTGACCGGGTGGGCAGACACAGTTGAATCCACCGTTGGGATCCATGACGCACATGCCTTCATTGCAGATATCGGGATATCTTGTACATATTGTACTACCTGAGTATGACAGCGTGAAAGAGACAAAAAACTTTGCTTTCGATCACACTCTCCTTGCCTTAAATGCTCCACTCGACAACCTCAGGCCTACACTGTTTGGACCTGCCCTTAAATTTGGGAACTTCACATCAACAGCACAGGGCAAACCGAACAATCCTGAAAGGGGTAAAAATGGCTCAGAAAACATTTTCGCTGAGCTGCCAAACAGACCTCACTGCTCAACAAATTTATCAACAAAAATAAATCAAACTCACAAAAAAAACATACTTAACATTCCCTCTTATCTGATTCGCCGATTCTTTATGCTTAATTTCTATTTGTGTAATAAATACCAGCAACTCAATGAGACTGGTCTCCGTGCTCGGGATTATCCTGTGGTCATTTAGCAACTCACTTGTGCATACATGGAGATTCCGGTCAAACTGCTGGCCCTCGGGGCACACACAATCGATGGTGTTTCCCACTATCACACAGGTACCATTGTTGCAGACGCCACCATGGATTCTGCACAGATCCATCACTGAGGAGCAAAAGGACCAGACAAAAAGTGACTCCCAACACGGGTGTATGGGTCGGCCTTAGGCTGAACCAACTCAAAGAAATACAGGCTAAGTAAAACCGGATGACCAGAAATGTAAAGAAACGTCCATTTTCCACATTTGACTTCTACCTGCGCAGAAGCCCAGCTGTCCGTCCCATTCGAAGCCATCTGGACACAAACACTCATAGCCATGCATGTCGTTGTGGCAGGTCCCGTTGTTGCATATGTTAGGGTTTGCCTCGCACATGTCCCTCACTGTCAAATGGGAAGAAAGTTGTGACTCTCACAACAACTCTAGGACATCTAGTACAGCAACCAATCTATCGCACTTTGTCATTAATTAATGGATACACTGTTATTCTAGGCAGTGAAGTTTTAAGAGGAACAAGGTGTTTTTCTCCAGGAATTAATCTTCAAAGTGAAATTAAAAGTTCAACTTTCTCGCTGGCTGAATGTTTAGGAAGATTTGCAACATTCTGATGACTAGTGTCAATGAACTCCAAACTCTGAATTGATTTGTTGTCACGAAACTGAAGTTAACACACTGGTAACGAAAAATATCCTACCAAGAGTATACAAAAAAGTTCCCCCAAACCAATAGGTCTGGTGGTGCACCAGGAATGAGGATTGATCAGTAGTGACAGGCCTCAGTTATGGTTTACCACTACCAGCTCAAGTTGTGTTACGTAGAGCAGCAGGCATCACTGGGAAGGAATAATCAGACGACGTAACAACACCATTTCCTGACGACCAATGTTGCATTGTCTTGGGTTTACTTACACACACAGGCACCCAGAGTGTAGTCGAATTCGTAGCCGTGCTGATCGCAGAGGCACTGGTAGCCATCTGCGGTCATGTGACAAGTTCCGTTGCCACAGATGCCAGCAAAAGCGACACAGTCATCCGTCACTGCCGAGAACAAAACCCAGTACCACGTTGCTGAGTTTCCCCATTCACTAATGTTGCTTGAGTTCCTTGATTGCTTTTGTCACTGTGCGGTACCGTATTTCAACAGAATTTCCTAACCACCGAATGTTAACGAATTAGAAATGGTGAAGCACACCGCACACTATCTCGACATTTAAATTCATTTCGAACTTGTCAACACAATACCTAGCTTACTATAATACTGGTCACTGATTTGATGAAGTGCTAAGGTTGTTCTTACAGGGACTAGGGGTATGTTCTTTTTTTTTTACAAGAACAAGACAAGAGAAAAATTGTCAATCACAATCTCATCATAGGAAATTGTTACCAAATGGACTCAAAGAAATGGCTAATTTAGATGTAAAATATTTTGGGGGTGATTTTCATCTGCACTTGTACAAAAATGTACATCATCAGAATCCCTGAGGGTTTATGTAATACTGCCCCCTTCTTCCAAAACACATGGGTACCCCCCCAACCATGCCTACATCTGGTCAGGCATCTAGACATCCGTCACTGTGCGGCGTCACAGCTTTTAGCAAATGGTTGACTGTTACTCACAAATGCAAGCACGATTCCGGTAGTTGAATTCATAACCCACAGGGCACTGACACTGGTAACCACTGTCATCAAACACACAGGTACCGTTGCCACACAGACCAGGGAATGCTGTGCACTCATTGGCCACTGACAATTTCAAATCAGAAAATGATTACATGGGGAAAGTAAATTTGATTCTTTACTAGTCCATAAAACAGATAGATCTGTATATGAACTAATGGCTATGATGGTACGTATAAAGGCTTTGCATGGTAGCCATCTTGCAGGCAGATCTTTATTTCCACAGTGAACTAAAGAACTCCCTGCCAGTGCATAGCCTGTGGAACAAAATGCACTGGCCTGCAAGATGGCAGCCATGCAAACTGTCTATTGAGATGTAGTCATGACCACATGAAGCTGAAAATTACCATTTAGAAGCATTGCATGAAATCTTTAAAATATGATTTCAATTCAGAGTTTCAATACTGCACTTTTTGGGGTGAAACTATAAATAACTCAGGAGGACAATCAAGTCACAGTGGAATGTGCCGTAGTTAGATGTTCTAGGTCTCTGTAAGAATGCCTTACCTTCACAACGCCTATTGCCCAAGTTGAATTCATAGCCGTTGGGGCACTGACAAGTATACAATACCTCCAGATCCTGGCAAGGGTAGCCTCTGCAAATGTTTGGGTATTCCTCGCACTCATTGATGCCTGGGGGAGGGGGGTTAAAAAAGAAAGGCGACCGTTCAGGCCTCTGTTACCTCTACGGTCATAAGGCACTCACAGTTAAGGAATCTGGGTCATTTTTCATAACTGAACTGGCTTCGACTTTCTTCACAGGAACGGGAAGCTGATTGAAAGCTTTTATTTGGTCTGAATGTGTAATTGTAAACGTCAACAAATAGCTCTGAGTCAAAGAAGAGACAACGTCCAGGCTTTATGTGACGCGTTACCAGTAGAAAACATTTTCCGAACTCAAAGTTTGGAAGGAAAATATCATGTGGTACCTCATGCTCAGATTTTCAGATGAAGTTTGGGTGCAACATGATAATCTGTACTTACTGCTTTGCCTTTTGGAAAAATCAACCTGCAGCGTGGTTTTTGGTAATGGAAAAAAACAGACAAAGACCTCAAACCCAGTCCAACACTCCCAAAATGTTGGTTCATTTGGGAGAATACAGACTCACCAAACTGGTTTCCTTTTCGGATAGTTTGTTAGCCCCTGCAATTTCAGTCTACGAGCCAATTCGTATTTGGCACAAAAGGTAACGTGAACTAAACTTTGATGTCAAGAAGCAATCACAGAAACAGTGGTAAAAGTTGAAATGCACCTTTTTTAGTGACTGCCAAAGATAATTTATCCTTTACCGTTGCAGATATTCCTTTCCTTGGCTGCGCCCACACCACAAACCGACCTTCCTTACGTATGAAGTCTGTCCACGATAAGTCACTTTGTAGTGTGTACTTATCAAGACAAGTCAGTTTGTGGTCCGATCGACAATTTTGTACACAGGATAAGCAATCCTCGGGACTGTGCTAGTCCATATGACTTGCCTTCGCAACGCCTGTTAGCCGTGCTGAATTGGGAGCCTTGAGGGCACTGGCACATGTACAGCACATCCATGTCTATGCAAGGATTTCCCTGGCAGATATCTGGAGTTTCCTCGCACTCATTGATTCCTGCCAGGGTCAAAACAATCCAGGAAACAGTTTAGGTTTCCAATGATAATGCATAGATTTTGACAGCAATTTCTAGAGACCTGTTTTTCGTGGCCTAGATTCTGCTGTAAGTTAGATCAGTGAGACCGCTATGTGGGTGACTTGAAGTCGTTTTTGTAATCAAGGTACAGGTATCAAGGAAGAATGGAGTATATGCAGTTATAATAACATCACCATATTGGATAGTGTAAAGCATTTAAATCACAAAAATAGTATCAACGGGATCAAAGGCTTTTTTAAGGAGAAGGGCTTAAGTAAAGCTGCACTTAAATCCACCTGTCACCCTAAACGAGACAGAGTTGTGCGGGCTTTTTGAGGATATTGGAGGAGCACATTGTGGCAGAAGAGTTGCTTGGCAGGTAACCAGGTAATCTATCATGTGGTATCATTTCATCATGCTATGACTGTTAGACAGCATTCGACCAATATCTGCTAACTGTTGCCAGGTTATCTACTTGTCCAGCACTTGGGCACTGGATGTGTTATTTTCATTCAAGAGCGTTCAAATCCGGTGAGAAAATTCTTTTTGTCATCTTCCGCGGAATCCGAACCACCTTTGACACTCAAAGTCACTGGAAGCCACTGCAGCTGAGAGCTACTAATTTATGAAAGCACATGTCTATTGCTGTGGTGAAGGTAGTTGGAACACAAATCTTGGCAATGTGGTTTGCTGTAACTTCGTTCAGCTACAATGACTGAAAAGGTTGCGATGAACTGAGAGTTAGCTGGAGCACTTGTTGCATTATACCGTAAATGCCACATCTCCAAAGACTAAGGAATAACTTGAAGATTGAATGGGATTAAATGACTGAACAATCTTCTATTTGTGTCTGTCTTATCTCTTCTGGTATATCAAACTATCCATGAGACAGGGTTTATATACAGAGTTGGAAACAGGATGTAGTTGAAGTGAGAAAGGAAAATCTTAGTCATGTACCGGTGTCGTGGTTTGATTCTCAGAATGATAACAGTGAATGAGTAATATCTTAGAACAGTGATCCATTTAACTTCTAAAACACTGAGAAACCTTCATAAGTTAACGACAGTACAATTGGGGATGCAAGTGGGCTTAGCAAGGTCACATGCCCTAAAGGCAGAAACAATACACATACACTGTGTGCACACGTCGTGTGGCTGTACAAGGAAACGGAATGAATATAGAACTGGCAAGTAGGACTAATACCGGGAATAAAAGTTCTTCAAGTTACATTGATAATTGTGGATTACTCATTGACTGAAACTTTATATACATGAATAATTAAAGTTATTGGTCAGAAAACGCTACACCATCTGCTGCCAATTTCCAAACCAGGCAGCAATGGTACAAACAGATCATTGCAATAAATAGGCACTTTATGGTTTCATGAACTCTTGAGGATCACACGAAGGCTTTTGACCTCTGACCAACCTTCACATCGTTGATAGTCCCTGTTGTATCGGAAGCCCTCGGGACACTCACAGGTGTAGAGCACGTCAAGGTCTATGCAACGTCTGCCGCGGCAGATATCTCGGTACTCCTCACATTCATTGATGCCTGATGAAAAGACAATATGAAAAACAGTTTAACTAACCACCTGAGGGGGTCGGAGATGTGATTCCTGGCATGGCAGGCAGTCACACTCCTGGATGGAGATCAGCGATTTGGATTCTGTTCAGATTCCAACTCTATGCACATTTCCATCTAAATTTCTTTGGCAGTGACTGGAAAAAATGGGAAAAACTACGATGGCGCTCTCTCTTTTTCCGTTAACAGACTTTTTTCTTTTTGTCAATCAGTAGATGGTGAATTACGGCAGGTGGTTAGTGACACCAAAAAAATTAACCGGAAGTTAATTTATAAGTTGATGAAAAACATCAACTTATATTTATGACAACTAAAAACAAAATGAACATACAACCCTCCTTAAAGGTAACGGAATATATTTTAAGGTGAAATATAGCACTGACAAACAGTGGTATATTTGCAAACTTTGGCTGTCCATGTGCACAGTACGCAATATGAGAGAGGTCTAGAGAATTTATTTTGTGAACTGTAGTAGTAACTTTGCTGAACTGAGGTCATCAGTAGGCATGTTTGCTCTTACAAACATGACAATTTAATCAATTCTTCTGAATTCGGCAAAAAGTCATCTTGCTCTGTAATGCAGTGCAATCTCTTTTGGGAAAAAAGCCTCAGAGAACCATTGCATTTGAAGAAAAGCCGGAACTTTGAAGTCATGATAGAATTTGCCAATCTGCAATAAATTTACTGACGTGCTCTCTGGAGCTGATTTACAAAATTTGTTCAGACTTTAGTATTGCCGCGAGTTGCTTCCTCCCTCAAAAAGGCAGACTCAAGATCCGGGTCTGAATTTGGAGCCAAATTCATTCTATTCTACCCCAAGCTTGGTGGGGGGGGGGAGACACACAGCCTAGTTTGACCCCGACGCCCCTACCATCCCCCAATCTCACCTTCACAGGTCTTGCTGTCCATATTGTATTCTTGGCCTTCGGGGCACTCACAGGTGTACATCATGTCCCGATCGGCGCAGGTGTACTCGCCGCAGATGTTGTGGAAAAGCTCACACTCGTTGATGCCTGACAAGCAATTTTCATGTGGATTATAAACCACAAGATTTGCAGTGACATTTTCTTGTTTTGGTTTAGGTTGTAATACACACTGTTTAAGGACTTATCTAGATTCACATAAACAGTTGCAGGAAATATGAGACAGCCAGTGATTGCTATATTGTAACTTTTCCGGTAACTTTTGGCAGCAAGGCATAAATACTCTTCATTCCTTTTTATTACTCATATAAGCAATTTCCCACTTGATATAAACAAAACAGACAGTGAACTTTGAAACAAAGCCATGCAGTCACGTTGGAAAACAATTACCAGTGTCTGTAATAACAAGTTTAGCTGAGTGGTTTTGTAAGCTTGAGCTTCATTGCCATGCTTGGGCTTTTCTTTCATGAAAGTGGTCTCCTCAGTGAAGATCTTCTGGTTCACTGTCGCTCATTTTAAAGCCAAACAAGCATCAAAATGGTCTTGGTCGAGGCCAAAATATGGAGTTTCTCATTCCGTTCCAAAAGTAAAATGTTTGGAACTGATTTCACAGCTTCAGATGCAAAGCCAAACACAAAGAACAACCTGAGATGTGGAAAAAAAGGATTTGATGAATGGAAACAAACAAGACAATAAAAGAAACTTGGCCAGGGAGGCTTGTCTAACTTACCCGTGTCTCTGTTTGCTGCAAGGACTGGGTGGAGGCCATCGATGGGGTAGATCTCTTGGTGGCCAGGTCCCATGGGGCACACTTCATCATACTGGGCTGAAACAAAAGTATTGAAATTCTACAAATCAGCTGCCGAGATGAACTGGACTAAACTGAAGTACTGGTGACAGAGACTATCCATTTCTTCAAAACTTGCTTAAGATCATGACGCTAAATGTATCGTCGTTGCGTTTTGTTGTACAAGTGAGAGTGCCAACATGTGTCAAGAGGTCAACACTGGTGGGGCATTGTGGATGCTGACTTTTCTCCCTAGAGTCGTCATGAAGCTGTACTTTGTCCACGCGGTGCTAAAAGATCCTTGCGGTGGAACTGTAATTTTTTGAAAATGTTGTTAGGGCCTTACTTTGAGCATGAAAGAAAAAATTCATACAGACTACGTTCCGGAACCCAGTGTCATGTTTTAAAGCATCATTTTTCAACAGAAAGCTTACAGTACAATTTTCCAGTAAGGACCTTACACGCAGGAAATTTAAAATGCATGGATTAGTGAACATTGTGAATATTCTAGATTGGGGTTCATGTCTGACATCTACCTACCCAGATCTACCCTTGTGACAGAGCCAAGTCGGCAGAGACAGAGGACTTACCAGAATCCTGGGGTGGGCAGATCCACAGCTGACAGTCGTCGCCCCAGCCCGCCCCTACGCTACAACAGCATTGCTGTCGGGTGACATTAGATGCCAGCAAGTTGCTGCAGAAGTTGGGATCGTCCACTGAGGCGTAACAGTCTTTCCTCTCCGGGCCCGGCACTACAGTCGGGAGAGAGGTGGGCTCTTCCAAGGGTTCTGTGGAAAAAACCAAGATTGTGAAAAGATTGGTATTACCAGAGGGTGAAGGTAAGCACAGAATGTGCTCCGACGTCCCTGTCTTTTAAAAAAGCACATTTCAGCTGTCATATGCAGTGTCAAATTCTTAGAATATAAGACCATGCTTAACCATTCCGTGCCGGGGTGTCCGGTTTCAGGCATATAGGCTTTACACATGAAACTGGGGAGCCCGAAACCGGACAAAAGAGCTGGGCCTTAGAACAAAAGACCGTACTCGGAACAAAAGACAGAGCTGCTGGGAATTGCCAACATTTTTTCAGTTGTCAATAGCAGAGGAAATCTGTCATTGTTTTGAAAGATGATACCACCGTTTGTGGCATTCAGTGCAAGCGGATTACCACCGGGGACAAAAGTGCTCCTGCACTTCAGTGATGAGTGATACAATACCGCTGCATGCTAATATGGCCCCTACTGAAAAGACGCCAGCCGTGCACTGTGCCAGTTTCGAAAACGAAAGAAACTTATGTAACACCGCACAATCTGGGCTCTTTTTGCCTGGCTGAAATACTTGGTCATCAATAGATGTTGTCTGTTAGATTAGAGTAGCCACCAGACAGTCATTCATGTGGGTGTAAACGTCCAGTAAATATACTTATGATTTTTTGAAGAATTTTGAAAACGGAAAATCTTGAAAATCCGTAGGTTTTACGTCATGCAACTTCAAATTAAACCCGACAGCAAGTGGTTAATTACCTGACTACAACTACAAATAATATTCTAATCACTGTACAGGATATTGCTCCACTGCTACTGCCACAGCCCATTGCCATTAAGTGTGGAGTAGATGACATTATGATAAGAAACATCTTACAAATCATGCATCAATGACTCTCAGGAGTCAGTGGCCGAGGTATCTTGTCATAGCAAAAATCGAAACTTACACCCCCAAAATAATACCATGCCCAGGGCCAGTTCCTTGTGAAAAGACACCGTTTGCAATAGTTAATTGAGGCTGAGGCCAGCGCGTGATATGCACACCCCTCCCTGTGTCCCTAGACAGTTATCTGTAGACAGTTTCTTATGTCACTCAATGATGGTTCTCCAACATGTCCCAGATGTCACTGCTGGTCACAAATCACCCTATTTCATTTATACATGAAGATCTCTGGGTGTTGCTGATGTAATTGGGCATCGAAGGGGCACTTGTGAATACAGTCCATAAGATAATCAGACAGAAAGAAAAGCCGAAGTTTGTCAGCATACCAACGCCGTCCGTATCCACGTAGATACAGTTGCGCATCTGGTCATCGTACACAGCTCCTTGGGGACATGTGCAGGTGTAACTGCCAAAGGTGTTCACGCAGGTCACCCCCATACCACCGCAGATGTCTGGAGTGTCTGCACACTCATCGGTATCTAAGGGGCAACAAACGACATTGATTTCTTTTACTCAAGTTCTGTGTTCTTGCATTTACTTGCTTTCAATTTTCTTTGGAGGGGAGGCTAGTGGGCTTTGTCTGAAAGATTTGGTGGCGGCTTGCAGAAACACGCGCGTAGGCATGCATGGCTGGCTTCTTTCTCTAAATACGCTTCATTGCCAACTAAAGCCACGGATTCTGCGTGCAGTCCTGGAATCTCCACACCAAAAGGTCGGAGGAACATTTCATTTCATCATCTTGTATTCATGAACCAAAATGTCTCACAAATACTTACAGTTGACTTTCTTCTGCCAATATGCCCAAATTGCCCCGTTGGGTCTAAAACTTAAATGCTAAACCGCAGCTATAAAAACAACTTTTTGAACACCTGCTAAACACGAGCAGAAACACGCCTGTCTCTTGGGGGTGGTTTAGCTGTTGGAGGGGGCTTAACAGAAGTCTGTGGCTTTTCTTGCTATTTTCCTACTTTGGGCAGCCTAAGAGGATGATTTTGAACATTTGAGGTAACACCTCTTGCATCCCTGCTAAATCCATCAGAGCTAAGCATATAATTCTGCTTATGTTTTATAGATTCTTGGCTTTGCTGCCCTGAGATGTGGGCCCCGGCTGGACTCACCTGTGCATGTGGTGAGATCAGACAGTGTAGTACCGGCTGGGCACACACAGCGGAAGGATCCCGGCTGGTTGATGCACTGGCCACCCACACAGCTGTCTTCATCCTCACACTCATTGATGTCTGAAATCACGGTGGTTGCCGAAAAGGGAAAAAAGATTTGTAATACGCGCGTTTCACAATAGTGTGCCACCAAGAGTTTGCAACGTGGTGGGTACTGTATGCAATGCACGTTTGAATGGGTTGATATGTCCAGAGGTGTCGACTGACAATGTGCGTTTGGAAAAGGGTCGACACATTTTGTACGCTGTGATTGGCCACTGCATTGCACACTCTTGGTGGCGCACTATTGTGAAACGTTCGTATTCATCAAGTCTGAATAATAAGGGCTCTCAGTCATACTTCAACAACTGGTGAAAGTGATGGTATTTCAAGGCATGGGACATATCATGAATGCATGTTAGAACACCTCACCCACAGATTCTGTATCTCGATTGGCCCAAAGTGTGTCATATGACGCTTACTAGTTTTACTATTTTTGTACCACCATTCCAAAAACACAATACACATCTGTAGAGTCTTGCTCTGAAAAAGAACTATATCCGTAGCAACGAAACCATGAATAGTACCCCAGCGGGTACCATAGTTTGGCTGATAGATGATCCTTTCTATGTTACTCTTGAACTCATGGAACCAGGCTACATATTACATAGATTAAGAGAACAAATATGCAAATAGGTTCGGTATGTCATATGGAGTATATTATCGGTACACACATTCTAACGTCACTCATGATTTGCAAAATGGAACACTGATAATTTGCTGCTAAAACTATGGCTGTGAATAATTCACAAAATGTTCAAAATCCCATGTAGCTATCACACCACAGACAATAATACACATAAGCACTACATGAAAATACAAACATTGGACAAATCTCCATTTTGAACAAATTTGAGGTAAAATCAAAACCAGCCAAAAGGTGGTATTTCTGCAAAACTTTGGCCACCCACACAAGTTGTAGGCAAAATGAGAGTGGTCTATTTCCTGATCTCCTATAGTTTCAGAAGCATGCCTCACTGCCTCAGTCCATTTTTAGATGTCAATTCTGGTTTTGATTTGGCTAAAATGACAAGGTAGTGTACATCAGTCAGTGACTTTCAGAGTGAATGCTTTTCAAGATGGCGGATACGTACCTCTGCAGTGGCGAGCCCTGGAATCATAAAGGTAGCCTTTGATACACGAGGTCGGCATGCAGAAATAACTTCCGTAAGTGTTCAGGCATTCATTGACTCCACAAGGGTTGCGTAGACACTCGTTGATATCTGGAACAGGAATGGAAATCAGAGTTTTCAGCACCACACTGGTAATGGAAGACAGCAGAAGAGGTTTGAGATGTTGGCTGTAATAGATTTTAATAGACCCCAATCATGAGGAAGCCATTTTGTATTGTTTCCAAGAATCTTATTCAATGTCATTTGTGAAATAGGTTGGTATCAGACTAATTTGGTTTTCATGCCTCATTTTCATTTGTTTAAATGTGGCTTAAAATATTTAGACATTATTAATAACAAATTTAATTTCTTCATACAATAATATTAGCATAAATGACATTGATTCGTAATAAAGTTTTATTTCAGTGCCTAATGTTTTTTCTCAGGTTCCAAATTTAAAAAGTTAACCTCGTTTTCAATTCAATATGGCCGACTTGTGTAAGTGCAAAACTTCACATGAATAGAAATTGGAATATTCATGCCGGTCGATGCCTGTTCCCACTAAACTCCCTTCTCAGTATCTCCCAAAAGGCCTGGCTTTTCATGCATAAAAAGGCAATGTACTCCCACTGGAAATGCACTCTTCCTAAATGCTTTTCAAGTAGCAACTGACTTTTTCCGCAGTTACTCTGTAAGCTGGCCAGAAAATGTAAGCTTATTCAAGTAAATTACAAGTAAACAGTACCCTTTCACTGGAAAAAAGCATGGAATTTGTCTCTCATGCATTCCCGCTACAATACACAGTCAATTGGTTTAACTGAAGCTAACCATTGCCTATATACTAAAACTTGCTCAAAGACTTAATGAGGACTTCAAGCAAATCCATCACAAGTCCCAGTAAATCCTCAAGTAACTCAGCACTGAAGGCCGGTTTATACTTCGGGCGATTGCAAAAGCAAAGCAAACCTCCCTTAGTTGAGTAATGTTCCACTGTTTCAAATTCGTGGCACAAAGATTTGATAGTGCCTTGTGTTAGCTTTTGTATCAAGTATGAGCTGCGACAGACTGGTCATTGTTGTGACAGCGCTTGTGACAGTGTGACTAGGCTAATTTGAGATCTGACCGTGGCTCTGGACTTAATTAGTCAGGCTCATCGCACAGCAATGAGTTTACCTCGGCAGGTGTTCCCGCTCTGCTGTAGGCCTGGGCTGTTGGTGCATCGGCAGAAGTAGCTACCCATGGAGTTGATGCAACGTCCCCCTTGGCAGACATCCTGGTCCTCATGGCACTCATCAATGTCTGCAAGCAGTCAGTTTGAGAGGATATGAGTTTTTCCAAAAATGCCGTCTTTGAGGAGACGGCTACAAATAATGACTACTTTACATCAGGGGAAGTCTAGCTATCTTTCCATAACACAAGGCAGAATTGACATACCCCTTTGACTTTGCCGGCAGGGTATAAAAAGTTGACTGTTTTCCAAAATTCTGTTTAAAAACCCTGAGATATAATGTCCTAGGTGCTTTGTAAATCTCCATGAGCAAGTATCCCTCAACAGAGACAAAAAAATACCAAAAGTATGACTGACCCTTGAAGTGCACAGATTTTTGCTCATTCAGATGAAAATTAGGCTGTCCGGAGTAACAGGCTGTGGCTGGCAGTAACGTAGGCTTCTATCGGATGTGGCCACATCTACAAGCCAGCAGTGTCCAAATGTGCATCCGTTATTTCCATACTTTGTGTATAGAAATTGACTTATCTCGCCCAACTACGCGAATCTGGGAAAACCCACCTTCACAAGCTTGTCCATCATTCACGGCTCGGAATCCTCGCCTGCACTGGCACCTGTACCCATCTGGTGTGTTCACGCACTGACCATGTGTGCAGAGCAGGCTGTTCTCAGCACATGCATTTGAATCAACCGCTGTGGACAGGGGAAATAACAGCAGACAAAATGCCAATGGTACGTTCAGCGTGGAAGCTGCAAACACAGAACAAAAGCTGTTCACATACACCAATTTTGTGGTAACGGATTGGGCCAAATTTTCGAAAAGATAACAGAACATTTACAGATCATGATGTTTCTGAAAGTCAGTCTCAAACTATGGTCTGCACTTGGAAAAGTGTTACAAAATTTTATACAAACAACTAGGAGTGGTGAGAACAGAAAAATGGGACAATGGAAGTTATTAAGCCACTTAAAAATCAATTTTCAGTGCTTTCCCAGATGCTTTGAAGCAAAGCTGCATGATTTTGAGAAGAATAGATTTTTTACTTGAAAGAAAACTCAGGAAAAATGGCAAATGATGAAAACATGCAGACTGTCAAGAGGAAGATGTATAACTAGTTTTTTTTTACAAAGTTCCATGTACAGTGCAAAAAAGCTAAGTAATGTACATTTTACGAGTTCCTGGTTTTGGAGCCACTGATAAGTTCTGAAATAGAAAGGTTTACATGGCTGCCATCTAGCAAGCCACTGCTTTTGTTCCACAGGGTATGCACAAAGGAGGTTTCTTTGTGGAATAAAAGAACTGCCCTGCAAGATGGCTACCACGCAAAGCCTCTATAATGCACTAATCAATTACTTCCCCCACCCCACCCCATCCCTCCTGGGTTACCCCAAAGCTATCTGTTAGGGTTTGGCTAAAGGTACACATTGGGTTTCTTTGGGGGGGGGAGGGTGAACAGGCATTTTTTTACGGGCACGATTCTGTATTCATGCCACAAATGCCAATAAAATCTACCCTAACAGGTTTGTGCACAGAGGCATCAAGTGTTGTTACCGCGATTGAGGCAGTCTACCGTGCAAGATAACATTCCCCTTTCAATTTTCCAAACTGTCATGAAATATTCTTTTTAAAGAAGACCAACCCGGTTAATTCTTGTTGATCCATTCTTGCCAACAATCGACAAAAGGATTCAATTTCAAGGAGGCCGCCATTTCAAGGTTATAGTCGTTATAACTCTTGGTGGCGCTCTTGATAACGCTTACGAGACATTTTTCCGAGCGGCGTCCTAGCTCGGTGTTTAAGTTTTATTTTTCTCGTAAGAGAAGGGTTATTTATTGTTCTCATAAATGAAAAAAATGACTGTTAAACTCAAACCACAAAGGATTCTGGGGTCTTGGCATGCAATTTCATACTACTGCTCTCAAAATAATAAATCTAGGCCTAGTAGCATGCTCATATCAAACCAATTGTGCATGGTGTCACTGCACGGTGTCCAGGGAAGTCGGGCACGGTACTCCTGCTGACTGGGACAGAGAATAGAGGACGCGTGCAGAACGAGGGGCAGTATGTATTTGTTGGTAGGTGTGGATGATATTGGTGTGTGTAAACTCTGATGTTGGTATAGGCCTACACCGAGGACTTTACATGGTCTGTTTGGTAGCTTTCGTCGGAGGCTTTGCAAAGTGGAGACCATAACAGTGAAATAACTTGCGGATACAAAATGCAACTAACTAAAAGAGAAAAACCTAAAACTGAAAACAAACCTATTTAAAAAGCCACCACTACCCCCCAAAAAGCAAGGCACTTAGTTTTCAAGTGAAGTGAACCAGTTCCGAGTAAAGGTTGAAAGGGCGCGCAAAAACGCGGTGCCATGTTCATGTGCATCTGGAAACGGTTCGTCCAATCAGATGGGGAGGGGGGTACAGCGACTCTGCGTTTAAAAAAATCATACTCATCAGTGTGGACAGCTGAACCTCCCTATTAACAGGTGGGCCAAACGGCAGCTCCAGAAAAAATGTGCCGAGCCAAATTAGTTTTACTGGGAACTTGGGTCATTACTAAGACTTTTTTGCAACAGTGCTTCTTGCTTCGCATTGTACCACCGCAAACACTATGAACAACTAACAAAAGAAGCACAGTGCAATAACAATGGACGCTTAGTGCACGGTTTCTTTTGTTCGGTGTTTGTTGTGAGACGTGGCGCGAAAACGTACTCAAGCGAAAGAACGTGATTGTACCACGTTGCGCTGGCATTATTTCGTCAGAGGGTGCTTATCCAAATTTGTCCATTCTTGTCGGTGCTTGAGTCTGAGCATCGTTGAAGGTTGTATACAAATTATACACAAACGCGCTGTGTTGGCCTGGGCATCCGCCGGTTTAAAGGTTCTGCGGTAGGTTTGTCAAGAGAACAATTTCTAAACTTCAATAATGTGACGGTTAGATTAAGATGCCTTCCTTAATTAATCTTTACGTCGTTTGAAAAACGGAGAAACTTTTTAGGTCTTGACAATTGGCTTCAAAGAGCTTTTGATGTGTATCCTTCGAACGGCATTTGGTCAGAGCTTTTTTTTATTAAGCGTCCTAATCGGAAATTGGTATGCTTGGGGCGAAACAGCATTCTGCTGATGAAAAGTAAATGAGTTTTGAGTTACGCAAAGATCCTGGCGGAAAAGTATAAGTGACCCATTGAAAAGGAATGAACTTCCAGGTCATTTTCCTGGCAAAATCTCCGGAATTTTCATTGTCTTCAGAAATCCCTCCTAAAATCGTAATAGATATTACTCACTGGTCTTTATGTGCTAAATGATAAAGACTGAAAAGAATTGCTTACATACAGAGCGCACAGAGTGGAGAGAAATCAGCATGGACATTTTCACTAAAAATAGACCTTCACTGCAAAAACTGGGGTGTTAGATTTAACACCTCTGGTGTTATTAGAGGAAAACACTAACACTTTTTACTGGTGTTAAAAAATTGGTGTTATTTGGTGTTACTTTTAACACCCTCCAGTGGGTAACACTTATAGGTGTACAAAGTAACACCAGCGTTGCTATTTAACACCCTATGGTGTGGTCATCTGATAATACCAAAAAGTGTTGATTTTAACACCAGAGTTTTTACAATGTTCCAGCAGTATTTTTTGTATATAGTGTTATGATAGCTAGGTGATTTTTTATAATACTTTATGAATTAATAGTATTGTTTCGCAAACAAGCGTAGAAAGTTAGACAAATTCAGCGGGGCTCAGCTCTTTTCTGCACGAGTGTAAAACGAACTGTGTGATTCAGGGTACCAAGCCATTAAGTTATTAGCAAAGAGGTCCACACGGGTGAGTGGTGGTAAGTTCATTGAAGGGGGCGGAAGAGAGCGCCAAGATAGCATGGCTTACGGGGGACGGGGCTGTAAATTTAATCAGAACATCCCTCGCTGAAAAACCTATACGGGTTTGTGTACAGCTTCGTGTTATTTTCCTTGGTGTAGGCCTACTTCCGTGATTGTAAGTGTGCTTCACTGTCAGTGCTTGGGGGAAAAAATACAGCCTTAAAGGCAGTATATTAAAGCCATTAATGTTTTGGTCGCCAACTTGATTAGTGTTTTTCAGTGTAAATGGTTAGAGACAGTGGTATAAGCTGCACGGTCGCAATGGTCGTTTCACAGATAGTTTGAGAAAGACGTGCGCTTGGTGCTTTGAAAGTGAGGTGCAGAGAAACACGTGCGACATAAGGTGAAAGTCAGTACACAGAGTGCAGGGCTACTGTGCAGTGATAAACAGGGCACAGAGGAGGGAGAGACACAAAAACCACGCCACGTGTGTCCTTTTTTAGCACTTTGGAAGAACACGTTAAGTGTGTGCACAGAGGTGAACGTGCTGAGATAGGGTGTGTGCCAGCCCTCTGCACGGCTCATGCGTGCTGTGCTATAATGTACACGGCAAAGATGGTGTGGAGTAGCAGTCAGAGAGTGGGACGGACAGGGGAATTTGGAAATGTATTACCGTTACTAGTCTCCGCAGGAACGTAATGGTATCCCGTACCTTGTGGGCACAATGCACGATACTCAGCTGTGAATAAAAAAAAAGGAAAGAGAAAGAACGGCAAGGCAATCATGAATAATGAGTGAAAAGGCTATGCATGTGCGTGACAATGGCCATTCAAAAGATAATTTGTGAGCAAACACTCTGAATCATGCTTCTCGGCGACTTAAAAACAAAACTGGTTTTCTGAAAGTTGAAATTAAGACGTTTCATGTAGAAAACCCGAACTCAGACAAAACGGCCAACACACCAGTAAAATAATGACGTCATACTTTGTTTTACATGTGTGCTTTCCTGTGGCAGTGAGCCAATTGTGGTGGGACGCGATTCGTGAAAGCGCACCCGTGAACGAAGCGTGACGTCATTGCGTTTTGGTCTATTCGGTTCGCTAGCGACCACCCATCATACACGCAATAATAGTGGAAGCAAAATCGAAAACCAACCAAAAGGTGATATTTCTGCAAACATACAAGTTGTAGGCAAAATGAGAGTGGTCTATAGGTCTGATCAAAAGATGTTAAAGTATCACTTGCAGCAAAACTTCGTGAAAAGCTTAAGGCACTCAGTGTTTGTTAGGTGGTTTTGTTTCCGATATTAAACAGGATTTGGGGAATTTTGAATAAAGTAATTATTAGAGTCGCAATCGAACACACCCTGGAATAAGCGAAATTAAAACAGAACAGTCCAACTGAGGACCTACCGATAAAGACATCTGCTGCATGCAGAAAAATAGCCACTGCGTAAATCATTTTCAGAACAACTTTGCGAGAGACTATTATGTTGAGGGCTCCAAGTAGACGCACGGGGCACTTTATTCTTCTCTTAGAACTTATACCATCAAGACAAATTCAAGGAAAAGAGTCAATGGGCATGATTTGTGGCACAGAAAAGCTCCGTGCTTAAATTACACAACACCCAAATATCTTTGTGGATTGTTGAAAATGTTCAATCACGTGTCATGTCATTCCGCAGGAAGGGGGACCGATCGACACAGTTTCTAAGCACAATCTCACTTCTGAACTTATACGCGCACCAGGTACGAAATGGTACAGAGGGGTACCCCCCAACAAGTTCAATCCCTATACACACTCCGGCCTATTGTCACTTAACACCCCCCTAGATGTCTGAAAAGAATTCCTGAGATACCAGTATAACAATGACCAACACAAAGGCGAGGGGGGCGGTTCTCTCTGTCCCATAGTTTGCTTCATATATCTGAACTCGTACTCGTATGTACATGGGGGTTTAAGCCCACAGAAAGTGTTTCAATTGATATATTCGGGTGATGCAGCGATCAGGATTATTTAATTTCATGAGCCTGTCACCTGTTGGAATTTTTATTACCACTGAAATCACATACAACCATTACTTACTCCACTGATATTTAGTGTTAACAACTCATGCCCCATACCTAAAAAAAATCCAGAAAACAATGTACACTCACACCTCTGCCATACATCTAGCATCAAATGACAATTTAAGCAACATCGCAGTCGAGCCCTTAGAGTCTACTACACCATTCTCAATACTCCAGTCCAGCCACAAAGGGAATATTTGTTATTGTTCATCTTCTGTTTCCCCTTGAATCTTTTGTGATTGACAGGTGACATAACTTGTGCTGTATACTTGATTGAAACTCAAAAATCTTTCTCTGTTCATGTTGACTCTCAAAGTCATGCTGACTACCGAGTTAAGTTCGCCCCATTCGAAATGACTGTAACGAGACAGTCATAGATTAGTGTGTTTATTTAAAGACGGGGATATTTCAGCCCATGGGGGGGAGGTGTAGCCACGTGATCTCTCACCTGTTCCTCTCGCTGGGCATGGCTGGCATGCTGTTGTGCCCCACCCCTCACCAATTCCACAGCAGCACTCCATTCTCGTGGTCAGGCGTCCCGACGCGCTAGACGCCAGACATCGACCGTCATATACCCGCCGGAAGCACGTCCTCCTTGCGTCCACTATTCCGTGTCATTTACACAAAAAATGAGATGGTTTACTTGCAGAGAGTGAAACGTGCACTACTTTGAAAAACCATCATTTAGTCACTGTGGATTACGCTTCCACATCTTTTATTTTTTTCATACATTATCTCAATGAAAAATAGTTATTGAAAAATGTTGAAAATACATGAATCCAAGATCGAAAAAACAATGTCAATTTTGGTGGGAAAATTTGAAAATGTTGTCGACTCTCCGTAAACGATGTGCACAACCAAGAAGTGGTGTCAAGATAGATCACTTCTTTTCGAACTACATGTTAATAACAAAAATGTGGGATATCATACGGATAATTACCGGCCATGCCTCGGTATCTAGCTCGTTGGTATTCACGCACGCTAGCTATGTGAGGTTCAGTTGTTGGTTTGGTCTCTTCTGGACCACATTTTCAAAATTTACACCCAAAGAATTTAAAGTACGTCTACTTCACAGATTGTGTACGTTGCAAAGAGTCAACAAATTCCAAAATTAAGTCCCCAAAAACAGGTGATCGAGAAGGCCCTTACACAACTTACAGCTCACCATCTTTGGAAGAATTATTCGATGTAGTCATTGCGCCTTTGTGTATACTCACTCGTGCACATGGTTCCAGTTGGGTCCAGCTTATACCCGGTTCTGCAATAGCAGCGGTAGCTTCCTCGTGTGTTGATGCAGTTACCGTTCATGCAAATATTGTCGAAAGCCATACATTCATTGACGTCTAGGTGAGGAAACAATGGCCGGAAGATCATCAATCAGTAACCCAAACATAGCTGAACGGCTAGTACAAGGGCAAACCATGGACGATTTCGAGCCCACAAGACTTCTAAGACTAGTACGGGAGCGCCTTCGGGGTGTTCGCTGCCGTCGTGTTTTAAAATAAAGACATGGGGAATGGGAGTACCGGACAAAAGCCGTAAGATTCAAGATTTCACGTATGTTTAGCTCTTCATAGATTTATTTTCTTTTAAGTTTTTTATAATTACACTCTTACCCATACACCTAGTCTCTGAACCAGGGACTTTCTTCAAACCTCGTTCGCAGTGCGTTTCACGTCCTGCATTGTTTGGGAGAAAAACCACTTTCAATGAACATTCGCTCTTTTATAGTAAGCGGATATAGGCCTACTGATCATGCGACACGACAGAAATGCACACGAGGATTGCTGCTACAGCAAAGTACAGAGAGCCAACTTTCCCATTCAATCCCTCCGACTCCGAGCAGGGTCAATAGAGGAATTTTACATTAGCGCCGTCTGCGCATACCTGCATCGAAACCGAGGCTCTCTGTGTTGAAGTTCGTCGCGCGCGCCCGCGGAGTCCACACAGTACATGCAGTTTCCAGTTCGTAAGTGTGACGCCACTTCAGTTTAAACCACGCCCACTGCACAAAATACACGACCATCACAGGTACGTTAGTTCGCGGTAAATTGACGTTATTTCCTCTTTTGATTTCACGTGTTGAGTCATCCTGAAAGACTCTTCCACAAAAATTTGCAGCCTGAAAAGTCTGAATTTAACATACCTTTATGTATTTTGTGTCTTGACTCCTTACCTTCAATCGTCTGATCGTATTAAGAATTGAAGCTGACACATACAGCCTCGTTTTCAAACGCGGAAGTGCGCAGATCGACGCTAAAAGCGTCGTATGGGATCCCTCTATAGATAGCCTCTGATGGCTACTCAGTACTAGATTCATCCACGATTGCCGCGTACCACTTTCCCCTCTAAATCCCTCCGACTCAATGCACGGCCAGTGGCCTCCGATGACTACTCATGAGCTTTCGGCACATCACACCGCGTGCGAGTACCAGATTCATGCACGAATGCCGCGTCCCACTGAGGGTTACTTTCATCTAAATGTGCACGAAATTTTGGGATCTTGTGTGATGTAGTACTTGTGGTGTAAGGGCACAAAATGCCGCAACAGTTCACCATCATTGTCCAGGCCAAAATGCAGAAATGAATACACGGGTATAGCGAGATTCCCTCGTTACGAGAGTGCATGCCTCTGTGGTAATTACGGAGAGATAAAATAAGCCCTTATGGCCAACTATCGTGTCGATACGGGCCTACACTCCTCTACCGCCCCAAAATCCCAACCGATCAGCCCGTATGATCACAATTCCTTTGATCATCTGCCAAATCCACTATTCAAAGCCGTTAGGCTGACCAATTCATGAAGAACATGTTACATAGATCGAGGACTACTCGTGCCGAAAGATTTAATAAAAGCAACGCAGCATCAAATTCAAATTTGATAACAACACGACAATTTCTGACATTCCTTCTGGGAGAAAATAAAGCTACTTTTCGGCTTTTTTTGGGGGGGGGTGTCATCCTGTATAGTATTTTCCAACCTGGACCTGGTTTTAATAAAACGCTGATGTCCCGACTCAGAATAGTTTCCGACTCGGAATAGTTCTAATAATCGCCGTCTGGGGTCTAGACTTAAAGTGCTTCCGCTACATTCCCTCGTCATTTCATAAAAAGGTTTCTTCACTTGCACTTTCCCATGACAAGCATACCTCCCCTCTGAAAACCCCGTGGACAGCCTTTCCTATCCAGAACGAAAAATCAAATAAATATTGTGGAATGTTGAGTGGGGACTGTTGAGAACCAGGACCGTATATAGTCTAAGATCAGCTCATTAAGATAGACCTTTCCTTCCATTTTGTTGATTCTTTTAACCGTGATTACTTTGGGGACAAAAATAAAGACGGCAAAACTCATGAGTATTCCAGATTTATGGAGGCAATCACTACCAGATATCGAAAGATATATTATCTGTCCAGCAAACGGGGCCATAGGGAAAAAGAAGTCGCCCAAGTGTACAACCGCACATCCTGTGCTAAGCCTCGCGGGTATACGCGCACGTGCGTGCACCCCAAGTCCTGAGTATCCCTGGGGTAGAACTAAGTTTGTTTCCTGAGGGCTCCTTTTTAAATGTAAACAGTGTGAAAAAGGTTTGCACGACAAAGATGGATTATGGAATCATGTTAAATTCATCCGTCTTGTGTCTGGAGTGATCCAAAACTACAAGCTGCACTTTTTATCCATGCTTGCTGATTCATGCATTTTTGGTATTATACGCGACACACCGTGCAGTACCATAAACAAAGAAAGAAGTAAACTGGAAAAATCCAGGGTTTCTCTCAGTCTTTGCCGGTCTTTAAAGACATATCTGGCCGCTGTATGTATCTTTCATTTTTTGAACCGTTTGGAGTTGATCAGAAGCTCCCGAGGGCGAGGAACATTTGGTTAATTTTTTTTCTGTTTTGAAGATTTCTGTGCTTAGTCATCTTGTGTGATCGTAACAACCTTGGCATTGAATCGTCCGAGTAGAGGACTAGGAGGTTGAGTTCATTTGCAGCGCATCTGAGTGACGCCCCGGACCGGCGGCTGACGTTTCCCGTGTTATATTTAGCATTTCGGTATTTTGGGGGTGACTTCCGTTTGGGCGTGACGTGTTCCTCGGCACTCAAAGGGGCCAAAACGAACGAAACGTCATAATTTAATTGGCCTTTTATTGAAGATTTGTGACAAAGATCATTGCTCTCTGACTCTCGTTTTGTAAACCCAGAATTCGTAGACTCTGAAATGGTTGGCCCATTATAAAATGGGAAGATGTCACCCGCAAAAGCTCCTGTGGCTGAACTGAAAATATGAAACTGTGGTCTCACTTATACCATTTTCAATTCACAAGAAATTGAAGTTGTCAACAAGAGGGTTTTCAAATGCCATAATTCGAGATGAAAAAGTCGCACTGTTTCCATGCGACTTTGGGAACATTACTATGGGTGTACTGTTTCAGTCCTAACTTCCAAGAGTGAATTTAAAAGATTTTCAACCTGCAAGTAACAGCTGCCGAGAAATGTCATTGACAAAAAATTGTAAATGACGCACGCCTGCAGCATCCTTCCTGTTTGGCAGACCACCAAAGACTTTTCCAGCGCACCTCTCCTGAAATGTCTTCAAACCAGGCTGATGTACCGGTAGATGATTTAATCTGGGTGTTTCACAATGAAGAGCATTTCAGGGCGCCAAAAATCTTAGGCAAAGTCTACAGTCCTGTTGCTGCCCTAGATAACCACGAGTGGGCGTCAGCGTGGACGTAATAATGATAATGTGATGAGCCCGAAGTTGAAGTTAACTAAAACAGGTACATTAAGGCCACTAGAATGAATTCCGAAACGTGCAGTCCGAAGCAAATTTATACGCCCAAAAGTCCTTTGTCTTGAAAGTGAAGCCTTGCATTCACTCCAACTTGGGTATGTATGCCAAAAAAACAAAAAACAAACAAACAAAAAAACCACTATGGGAAACCAATGAACTCCAGCGACACTTACCCAACTGTTGCGGGCAGATGTGGCAGCTGCTTCCCCATGCCTGACCGACTGTGGCGCAGCAGTCGTCGTGAAGGGTGGTGTCGTCACTGAGTGCAGCCTGACACTGGTTGTTGTTAACCCGTCTGAAACACGGCCCTCGCATGGTGTACCGCGCTAACTGGGAGCCCCCTGATAAATAGATCAGTGAGGGAAGATAGAAAGGCTCTATCCAACTTTTCCAGCCTTTTCCGACTAAAAACGTCTACAAGTTTGACAGTGTGTAAATTAGCTTGGAGAACATTCACACTCATTAAACATGAGCGTGTTATACCCGGTCGACGGAGTAGATATTAAATGCGAATGTTACAAACAGTATAACTGCAGGTCGAGCCTGTCCTCCAAACTAGGGCTTATCCCATTTCGAAACTGGAACTAAAAGACGCCATAAACGTGAAGAATCACTTCAGTCGTTAGACACAGTGCTCTGAAACCAGAAAAAATACTATTTTTTACTATAAAGAGAAGTTAGAATGCAGGCCAAATTACGTATTTTAATTCATAGTAAGGCCAGGTCATTTTCGAACGCAAACGCGAATTTCTGACGTCAAAATATTCGCCCCGCATATTTGCAACTGTTATCATTGGTATTTTCAACTGCAAATTTCGCTGAGTAAGTTTTGTGACTTTAAATTCGTTTTGCATTCACATGATCTTTACAGACGAGATACACTAATATACTCTTTGCTTGTCTCGCGATTTCTTTTCCTTATTTGAGGGAAGTCCAGGAATTCCAGTGAAGTATTTAGCTCCCCCCTCACAGGTGCCATACCGAGATCCTGATGATAACCACCATCCCTTCTCGAATTTGCGTCCTCAGGGATGAAACAGCACGCAAAGGATTACTTACTTGATGACAAGACTTGATAAACAGATACAGGACTCTGTAAAAGTCTTATTATTAGCACAAAACTGCCTTGAGTCATTGACGCGAAAGAAAACCAACACATCAAGATTTCGCCAACAACTCCAGCGGGAGATGATCTAGTCGATAACGTCTGTGACATGGGCGTGATGCCACGTCAGTTTCATGAAAAAATGCTAGTTTTGGAAATTCGTCCGCAGGCGGGGGAGTGTTCTTGGTACAAAACTATTCCTGACATGCAAAAACTGTTTTGACGCTTATAAGGAGCTAGTGAGGTCAAGGAAACGACAGATGACCCAAGAAGAGAAATATATGTCACGAGACTAAAGACTGCACATTCCACGTTCGGTACTGTCTCCACAATGGCATGTGAGTTTGGGATATCCTTCTGTCGATGTAACGGAATCCATCATGTCATGTTCCTAAAAAAATCCTAAAACCTTACAGAGCTTTTTTTTTACAGGTTTGCTTCATCATACTTTTTGCGCTTGTATCACCAGTTTTGGAACTGGCAATGTCGGACAGCTTCTCGAATACGTTTCTTCGATAAGTTGTACAGTCAAGCACTAATATGAGCGGAAGATCGTTATACGAAAAGGAACTCAGACATGATGAAGGAATGGTTTTGACACCATTCGATAGGAAGCACTTGACAGGCGTCCTGCTGTGTGGGCAGAGCCTACGAGCAAGAATGAACGATAGGGTGTACTGAAGTTCAGTGAATCCGAGGTCCTTCTAATCCAGAGGGACTTTATTGCCCAAAGAAGTGGTTGTTCTGCTACCTTCTCCTATAACTGCAATGGAGATTTTCACAACAGATGATGGCTATCAATCAAAATGAGGCATGACCAAATAGAGGGCGCCTTTTCATGTCACTAGGTTAAAATGTGTTGGGTCCACTCTTCGGTAAAACTATACGGGAACATGTGGACCCTGAGTACCCTTTCTTATTTCTAAAACAATAGCAAAATAGCCAATAGTCTTAGCTTCTAATCACATTGGGATGGAAAGTGGGCTCATTTTCATGTTCTGTTAACTGAAATCCAATATAGATTTCTGCGTAATAAACCATTACGAAGGAGTTTCAAGCCCACTCAGGTAACGATTTAAACTGCGGGTGTGTGGTTTTCCCTGTGAAGATTGGTTCAGTCCCTGTGTAAGCATGCACTTTATGGTACCTTTATGGGTACCATACGATGAGACGCTTACATGGCCATAACCCTAAAAGAGCCGAGGATACAAACCGCACTTCAACCCTTGGCATTTTCTCAAAAATCCTCATTTTTGGACTGTGCTGTGCCTTCAGCAGGACTTCTAGTAATGTCTTACTATATCAAAATCGGACACACCGTTCTTGCAAAACGCTAAATTTTTTTCGAGACTGGTCAGCCCCAAATGATAATGAAAATGATAACGCAGGTCTGTAAGCGGGGCCCGTGACGAATTATGACTTCAATTATCCGCTGGCCTAACGAAACTGATATCCTTACAATGCATGCCCAATTCAAAAGAAATCGGGCATGGGACAGTCGAGATGTTGGGGTGTACAGGTGGGGATGGGTGGTGGCGCAATTCCTGGATGTCAGATGGTACGTAAAACCCGGCTCTTTTAAGGTTAAAATGGCCCAAATGGTGTCAACTATGTGCAGGAACATAATCAGGTTCAGACAATACACAGTAGAACGGGAATAAATTCTGAGGATGAACACGTTTTTATCAAGGGGGCACTAGGCCTAGGAGCAAATTATCTGCGGATTTTACATGTTAGTTGTGCCACCTGGAAGATTTTAAGCAGGGAGGGGACCAGGGCAAAGCCATACGCCGACGAAGGGGGTAAGCATGCTTACGGCACTGGGTACAATAGTAAGAACAGGTTGTGACACGACACATAACACCTTTAATGTTTGTGGGTCAGAAATGAAGTAGCGATCTCATACTTAATGCACTATATGTACAAATAGTTCGCTACGGAAAGGAAACCACGCGTCGCATGCTTTGCATACATGAATTCCCTATCTTACTGGATCGCCTCGGGTAAGCCGCTGCGTACAAAGGCCACGTTAGATGTAAGCGGTACATAAAGCCGAGCCAGGTTTGTCGTGGGTACAAAATTGTAACCTTGTCACTAAAACGAGAGCAGAAATCTTGACTTGGTCCTATATGATTCGATCAAGACATGTATTTTATAAACACATCCTAGAGAGCGTCACATATAAATCTGTCCCCCCCCAAAAAAAAAACGGCTCGGAGGCACAGAATTTCTTAGGGAAACGCATCCCCAAGTTGGGGGACTCTCTGCCCCTGGGGGATTCCCCCTCCCCTCGGTCTAACTCAATTGATATGCTGACCTAATGTTCATTTTGCTGTCCCAGTGTTGAGCTTGATAATACTCGTAATGTTTGTTAACCAACAGGAGTGATCTCTTTCATTTCTTTCATTTTGGCTCCACTTTTGAGAACCGTTGTACTTCTTTAGTGCATAATGAGCGGGAATATCAGTCTTGACTTTAGTGCAGACACAATAAAAGAAAACACTTTGACGTAGATGCAAACAACATTAAACTTGCATCGGTGGGTTCGTCCAGGGGTACAAAAAACATGGACTTTCCTTATCTCAAAGGGGGAGGAGCAAAGTTATTTTTCCCCGCAGCGGCAGTTCGACAGGCCATAGTTGCTAACTGATGGTAGCCCTGGCATAACGTTGTTTCTGTAACCCGGTTTTGCAGATTAATGGGATTTTTTTCTGAGACCACGTTTGTGGACCCTTTTTAAGGCTGCTATACTGGTGATGAATCGCGACCCGTGCGTGCGTGCACTCGATCGAACGCTGGCGGTCTCTCCGACACGCCGGTGATGACGGGGTCTGCCCTGCGGATATTGTAAACGATGTACTGTTGTGACTGGAGGAAAGAATTCCGGGGATGCGTACAATTTTGTCGCACCTGGGTAAGATCTAGCTTCCTCTGGCATCTTCAAATCGGCAGGCTTGAAACTCAAGGTGAGATAATTACGAGAACGGTATCCATAAAGTATGAAGCGACCTGTACCTGCAGTAAACCCCTGGCGTTTTTTGTTTTGTTTTGGGGGGTTTTTTTGGGGGTGCAAAATTATTACTGACCAAGGCATGAAAGTGAAATACAAAATCTTGTACAAACGACCAGAAGGCACCGAAATGTCCCTCTCGAAATCCGAAGCGTAAAGCTGAGAAGAAATTCTTACAAAAATACCAATGCCTACGTGACTTGCCGGCAATCAGTTAATTGGTAATTGAAACAAAATAAGTTGTACCCCTCGAGGGCCAGCAACGGTAAGTGAATTGGGGCAAAAACTGCAATGTTAATAAAGCGATTCGGGTTTGAAATTCTTTGGCAAAGATCTGTTACACAGAGCACCGAGAGTGTGTCTTCGAAGTCTAGACTCGTCCACTGATCGTTTCAGTCGTAAGCCCACGAAAAGTCGGGGATGGAGGTTCCTATCCTAGTTATACAGTCTGTATACAACTGATCTCCACGTAAAAAAAAATTGGATTAGCCTGTTGGCCATTCCAAATTTTACGACAGAGAGAAGCAACGCGAGAGGTCTGAGTTTCATGAAGCTGCTTCTCAGAAAGGGTGCTAAGCAACTTCTTTGCTGGAACAGAAATCAGCTGAACACCAGTTTGTCCTACATAACACTGTGTGATAACTTGACAGGTAACCTATTTTTCCTAAGCTAATTTTTCTTTGCTAAGTAAACTTCTGTGCTTTTAGCAGCTCTTTGAAATGACAAGGGCCTGTTTCCGATCGCTGGAAAAATCTTTACAAATTCGCGCAGTACAGTATTGTGGACACTGACTTCACTTATAACAGCCAAAGTCCATCCAGGCTTTTTTTTCTGTGGAGGTAGGTGTTAGTCCTACCGGCATAGACCACTGTCGATATTATTTCAACTTTTGACGACGAGCAAGACAGGTCAGCGACCCCGTGCCAATACAAGGAACAGATGACTGAACTCGGAAGGGTGGATGAGATGGGCACTACGCGGGAGGTCATGAACTAATCTAACCTTTGAGCTGAAGATCAAACAACATGGAAACATTATGTATAGGGTATGGTCTGGGTCGAGTGATCTGTGTTGTCGGACTACGCTTAAAAGGCACTTTGCTGTTCTATAGGTCTTGACGCAAATCAACACGCATCCCTCTCAGGTCACCATTTATTAAAAATGTGTGCTCGAGAGATTTTGCCTCTTCTTAAATCAAATTTGACTGACTTGTCCACATATTTCGCACATAGTCGCTTAAAGTAAAGGGACTCTTAACGGATCGCATATTCTGGACTAAGCTCTCTCATGGGTCACCCGACTATTCCAACGCTGGAAGTTAATCCTGACGTAAGGCTTACGAATCACGTGATCACACTACCAGCACTGGCTTTAAGTTAGTTTGAGGGATGCAAGTTATTGGCTTAATATTGTCGGTATGGACTAAATCTGTGAAGGATTTATGTGCCGTGGTTGCATAAAACAAGAAACCAGGCTCTCAACGGCTGAATGGAATAAATGCTGCAGCAAAGCTTTGGGGAAAAAAAGAGAAAAAAAACTGACCTGATCAGAGTCTACGTTCTCACGCTCATACAGTTCACCAAATACGTTTTGAAACCATTATTTACGATACGAATCACGAACAGACGATAAAACTGCACATACAACAGCAACGCTGGTGCCCTAGACCGAAGAGTATATTAAGATAATAAATATAGGGCCGACACCTTTTGAAGACACCATTAACACCAATCCTTTGAGGTCTTTGACCTCACACTGAAGGCAATGTTCGAACCCCCCCGAAAACAACTGGTTCAGGGTCTGGTAACTCTCGTTTCTCGTCATTATTAAGGGGCAAGTGATGATGAATTCCACCGGTGTCAAAAAAGAAAGTGTAGTAGTGGCAGTGCTTGTCACGTTTCTCATGCTGCGCAAAACGGCCTCTGCAACCAAATCAGTCAACATGAACGGAGTATGCCGTTATACCCACCCGACGTCGGTCGGCCAAAGTTGATGGTGGAGGATGCCCTCATGATCGAGCTGACAATTTGTCCACTGTTGACGCTGCCAGGATAGAGGTTACTCCCTCCCGAGGTGGGGGGCCTGTAGCGTGTGGAGGTCGAAGCGCTCACCACCCGCAACTGGCAAAAATAACCGCGGAAGTTGGGCTTGCACTGGCAGACATTTGGTCTGATGCACACGCCGCCGTTCAGACAACTACATATGGCTGATGACCAAACGAACAGAAAGTATAATAATAATAAATAAATAAATTTTGGCACATACGTGAGCAATTGTGCTTTGTGGCGGTACCAACTATAGTATGGGGTTGTGAAACACTGGTCAATTTTCCTGGGTAACTAGTGTACAAAATATACAATGGAAGACAGGCAAAATCGAGGTTTTGTTGTCGACAAAATTAATGGTTGCCATTTGAACAGGATCTAAATCCAAGAGCATGCAATACAAAAAATATGTATACATGCAAAGTGCATGCGAAGATCTTCATCCGCTGGTGATGGCCAATTTTGTGAGCAAAGTTTTGTAAAGTGTGAAGCGTTATAAGCGTATTTCTGACGTACATTCCTTGGGTACGGGGAAACTATTGGCCTGATCCAATGACAACGACAATGGTACCATTGGATAGGGAGCGAACTACTGGTTTTTCCTACGTGGGCAAGCATTATGATACGCAACAATGGGCTATGTATTTAATATCTATAAACTGGACCATACGATTTTAGGTCTGAGAGCCGATCATGTGAAAAATAACGTGCATCATTCACGATACAGCCCTGACAATACACACTTATGTTAGTACGTTTGCTGTAAATCGCACTCTTAAAGTAAGCCGCGATAGAACAACACTATACAGGTGGAACTTACGACGAGTGCACTGGCCGGTTGATGGTTCGATTCTCCATCCTGTGCAGCATCCTTGGCCGCAGACGTTTGGCCTGAAAGAGAGAAGGAAATCAAATTAATTATTAGCCAGAACAGGGCTTTACAAAGCTCGATAGATTGTAGTGTAAGACACTTCCCAATCTGTGTTTTCAAAGCTAGTTGGTAATGGTAAAGATTTGGGAGTACGTTTGTCGTCATTCTCAACGATTCTTCCGAATCTGCGCTCAATTCTTTTGCGCGTGCGCAAATGCATGCACGTACTCAGTATTCGCATGGCTATAATCTGCACATACCAAAACGTGCAGATATCCAGTCTACCAATGGCCAAGGCCGTACAACTTTCAGGGACTTGACCTGCACATCCAAATAAAAACTCAAGTTACCTGCACGTGAAGCTATTTTAAAATGTGATTTGAAAACATCGGTAATTTTCTACAGCAGGTTATCACAGATTATTACGGATATTATTACGGATTTCATGACGTCAACGCAACTTTCACACTTTTCTGTGTTCTTTCTAACATGCCTCATAAGGCAACTTATAGGTTACTGTAATTTTAAAGTTTGATATATTTCATGTAATTCCTCAGCGCAAAGCGACGCTGCACCGAATGTTCGATGGACACACAAGCGACAACTCTGTACTTTTCTGCCACCCCGGCAGCTTTGCCGTCAGTCAACACGTCTGAGTCTGGGGAAGGAGACTATTCGCTTTGCGCCACTTTCAACCACCTAATCAGCAGGATATGAGGAGGCTGGGCAATCTGGGGGTCATGATCAACACGAGGGACGGGTTGGGACCAAGTTAATCCCCGTCTGTCAAATCAGCTGGGAACCGGTGCTGTGCTTGGAGAACCGGAGTGGTACAACACGACATAAGGACCACACTAAGGTTGTGTTGGGAATCAAATAAAATGAACTGGAGAAAAAAACTTCAAGGAGCACGATAACTTTCAAGTTCGTTCTTTCCGTATGAAACAAACTTATACAGTTCACGTGTATCGCTAAATGAGACAAAATGCACAATCTCTTGCTGTTGCATTTCACCAAGCACGCATAGGCCTACACATTAGCGTAGGAAAGTTGACATATTTGCGGATACAAGGGTGTAGAACTGATACACTGTTTTCAAATGGGATTCACCTCCTATAGGTAATTGAAGTCTGTTTCCAGTCGTCTGACAATTCCGCTGAGCCTACTCGTAATATTTCTGGCAGCCATGGTCCAGCTTTCAGTACCACCCTGTGGCGGTTCGGTGCGATCAAGGGCTCACGCAAGCCATCTATACCAAAAAGCCGATGAGTAGACTAGAGACCCCGCCGACGTCCGGGTAACACGGGAAATGAGAGAGCCGATAACGGGAAACTAGTGTGGATACTGCGATGACAGATGAGCGGAATACCAGCGTCTACAGTGTATTACCCAGCGGCTCCCACTTTTCGCATTCGGATTAAGAGACAGAACGGCTGTAATGTGAGCATTTGCAAACCATGAAGCGATGTTCACGGTTAGTTACAGAAATGCCTGCAACAAACTAACAAACACTAATAGGATTTGGGTGGAGTGATTAATACTCAAGGCATTCATTAGATTCTACATTCCGTTTTCCCACATGTATATATATCTAGCGTTCTGACCTTTTTTTGAACTTTAAAGGCGACCTTTACTTAGACGAATGAAATCCGTACGGCTAGTTAATTAAAGTTGCAAAGAGCAAAATCTGACAATTTTAAAGAGCACATGAGAACATGCATATTGCACACGTGATATAATATCTAACTCCTGCAGTTGGTTTACCAGCAGAAGTTGTACTAAAATAAAACTTATGGTAATGTTGATGAATAAAGAATGTATGAATGAATGAAGAAATAAAAGCATATTTCAATGTTTAAATAACATTTTCTGCTGGTATTATAAATAAACAAATTATTAAATATTTTGAAACGGTGGTAAAATTTTTATTGAAAGAGACCTTCTCTGTTTGACGTTAGTCCGACTGACCTGCCAGTTTTGGGCGTACTTTCTCCCATCGCATTTTTGTGTAGAGGAACGAGTTACAAAACTCTTCACAGATAAGAAGCTTGAGAATGGTGATTAATAGAGAATAGGAAAATTCCCCTCGGCATGACTCCCAACACTATCACGGAAAAATGATCCAGACTGTCTGCTGCCACCAAGAGTCTACACCAATCACAAGTTTGCCAAACATGTCAATTGCGTCATATTCTGCAAACGTATCAAAAATGAACTTCCACTTCATAGCACTGTAAATCGAGGCCTACGAATGACATGTCTTGGCGGCAGATGGTTTGGTCAATTTTAGAATATTATGCATGTGGAAGAAGTCTGAAACCGAGACACTACACTTCATGTAGGCTGGTTTGTGCAGGTTCCCCAAACAAAGCTGTTAATACAAGGAATTTTGTTTGACCTACACAGTATTACATCCAGGTTTCTCTGTAGTCAAAAGGAAACTGATATCTACGTTACATTGTGGACATTTAAGGCCAAACAGGGCTTGGTAAAGGATGCCTTTCCTAGAATAGATCTCCCAACAGAGAGACACGTTTCAGACACGACGCTGGCAGAGACGTCTGATTAAACAAAAATGACTTCTTTGTCTCATGTCTGAGTGACTCATTGCCTCTTTGTACAAATTCTTGCTATCTTGAAAAAAGTGAACCTCTTATAAATAGGTATTCAAATGCAGAATTAGTCATAGTTCCCCTCTGCCAACACGGAGGACTGTCTGACGTGAAATCACTGAGAAACCAAGAAAGGATGAGACGTATTGACCGTGCTACCGGGCGACAGGTAGGAAACGCCCAGGCGCGTTAGGTTACATTCAGAAGGAGACCCAGAGTACATTCTTGGCCCAACACAAAGCATTTCCCATCAAATAAACTTAAGAATTTTGATCTTACCAAGGAATACGCCAGACATCGCCAACAATTAATAACATAGTGACTTGACTTTCATTAAATTTCCGCAATTTCCGGGAGTAAAGCCTTAGACTGATGTACAAACAAAACAACGTTTAAGTAGAAGAGGGGCGAATATTTCACGGATGTAAAAACCCTTGATGCCACTCAGGGGAAACATTCTTGCGCATTTTCTCTGTCGGTGCCGAAGTTTGTTCGGAAGCAATAAAGTATTCGACGGGGCGTGATGGGGCAACAGGTCCAAACCCCGTTCAGATCATCTCCGATGGAGTCATATCGACTTCCGAGGGGTAAATTGTGCGTGTCTTCATCCGGGGCCCAGCTAGCCCCGATCAAGCGCGCCGTCTGGTTTTGGCGTTCCCCAGACACACTGCTCCCGACCTCAAGTACGTGACTTGGCATAACCCCAAATGACGGTAATTCAAAAGAGTGATTTATAAATTCTGAAAAGAATTAAAAGAGTTGTTGCACATAATTTTGATTCGATTTTGTATTTTATGAAAGTTTACGGTGGTTTTATGGCCTGAAGCTGTCTACGTTACACGAAAAAAAACAACTCTACACATAGCGCAGATATAAATCATAGCGCAGATATAAATCAAGGCAGAGAGAATAATGCATTCACGGGGAATTGGCACCTGTTATGCACATGTACCATTAATAACTTACTTTATGGGTCATTTCAAAATTCTAGGAAAACGTGCCAACTTAAGGAGAAAGTGTCAGAAGGAGACCTAAAGAATAGGACAACTTAGGGCCGGAATCGGACAGGGATCGCACAAGTCACGCGAGACTGAAATGAGGACGAACAGTTCAGTAAAAAGGTTTTATTTTCAACCAGTGCGAAGGCGTTGGCAGTTGTTCTGAACGAATCGGAATCGTTACGAACCAGTCGTTTCTCAATAGCCCAAATTCAGTGGTAAAATTGTTGTCATACAACAACGTAATAATACAAGGCAATTTGTTAAGAACGTGAAGTTGTCATTGAGGAATCCATTCTCCACTGTTGACTCGAGATCATTTGGCAGCTACTTCTGATGGTATCAAACCAATTTATGAAATGTTCTTTTGAAGATGTGAGCAGAACAGTTGGAAAAAGACCTAACATCTTCCTAATCACTGCACAATCAAATAACCTCATTACCCGTTCTTAGAAGGGAGACCAATGATACCAACAAATTCCTGTATTGACCACGTAATAACTTTTCTAGGAACTCGTGCAAGGAACCAAAAATTCATTCTCTGCAGTCGCCGAAGAGAATGGTTAGCACAGAGGTTTGCTTACTAACTCAAATAAGCCAAAGAGCCTACAGCCAAAATGTAACAAGGTAAGCTTTGCTTCTCATTATTCCTCCACTGAGTTTCTGCTTTGTAATTTAATGAAGCCTGCTAAGCATTATATTTTCATATGCTGAATAGTTTTATTGGTTCAACCAAGTTCTTATGGAGTGGGCATGGTTTACAGTGGAATGAAGTCAATTTTGTTAACCCCAGGGACCTATCCACGTGATCAGGGTGAGTCACTTGGAGAAGTGCTCGCAAAGTTGCAACCGTTTGTCACGCGACGCCGATTTCGTTCAAAAATGACAAAACATTCGTTTCACTGGTCTTTTGAGATACGCCGGCCGCAGTGCAGTCTATCGGTGAGCCCACTCCATCAAAATCAATGATCCATCCTATAGGCCTAACCGCAGACAAACTCAACCCAAAGAAGCACCAAGTTATGACGGCACTTGAAACTTCAAGGGTCTGATTTTTTTTACAATAAAAGTAGAGTATTAAACGCGTGTGCCTCTGTGCAAGATAAGGGTGGGTGGCGTGAGCGGACAGTGCTTGCTTGGATTAATTTCGGCCTACATTATCCCATGCATTCCATCGCCAAACGCACGTTCTTTCACGAAGTCATGGAGTGCGCATGCAGTATTTTCGTGTGGGACCTATTTAACGTACATGTACATGTGCGTACAACCATTCAACTTAGCGAAACTGGCTAGTGTGCTCATCATGCAGTATCGCCGGCATAGTCAGCTTTCAACAGGATATGACTCTCATATTAAATTTGCTCATAAAACCAAAATTCAGAAAAGGCTGTTTAAAAGATGGTTTACTCA